GGTAATGGTAGTAATAATAATTAGTGTTTCTGACAGTATAAACTCTACTGAATCCTTTCCTCTTTAAAATTGCGAGAAGAAGAATAACAAAAAGGGTCTAAAGAAACCCATGCGAGGGACAAGGTTGACATAGGGGCCGCTGTTATCGTTTACATAAATAGAGAGGCCTACTTAGCCATCAGATTAATTTCCAAGTGCTCCATGGAAATGGAAGACCACCTTCTACGCAGGTTAATAGAAACAAAAATATGTGGAACCATTTTATAATTTTTTGTTAGAACAAATTAAGGGAGGTAAAACGGCTGCCAAAAGTATAAAAAAAAGTCTTCACCCCTCCCTCGTGCAAATAATTCATTCTGCTAAGTGACCACGTGATACTGTATGATGCCAGGCACTGGGTACGATAGTGAACGTAAACATGGCTGCTTTGGCGGGACGGACAAATTTATCAAGAAGATTCAACTGTAATACTCCGTTGTAAATTGGTAAAGTGGCGATTTATTGTCCTTTTTGGAATTTGACATCAGTAGGTAAAGTAAAAATGGTTTAGCTCAAATTCTGAGGGCAAAAGACCCTTATTAAAACGAGTACAAGTCGCACTGAGTCATCGTTTAATAGCTGGTGGCATGTTATGAATGGCTTTAGATTTAAGCCTTCTCTTGAGGCGTTTCGAGCAAACAAGGCCATTAAAGCACTCAAGGGAGACGAGAAAGAAACGTCACCCTTTTTTTTTGGCAACAGTCACTTATTTGCTACTTGAGCGTAGGCCGTCACTAACTCGTTTATCAAGAGAAAAGGCTCTGTACATAGTGCACCAAAACTCGCCAAGTTGTTTTAAAAACCCTTCGAAACCCTTCAGAATTCATTTTTAGAGAAACATGGGAAAACGAAGTAGCTTTTAGCTCACACCGCTTGAAAGGAAAACTCTGTCTGAAAGCAATTTAAACATCAGACAATTTGATTTGTACAAAATGATTTATGGTAAATGTTTTGACATTGTTTGACGATAACATTCATTCACTTTTTCTCAGATACAGTGTCCTGGAAACTCCTTTCGTTGTCTTTGTCGAGGATTTCGTCAAATAGCTAGAGTAAGTATTATTGTATAACATCAGAGAGATTTAGTAACACATACACGATCCAAGCACATGGCAAAAATTGAACTTTGCTGCCTGCCATGAATTCAATGATAAACATTTGTTTATGTCAGCGTTTTCATAAATTCTCAAATGTGTAAACTCTGTGATAAGGGTTTTCCTTTAGTTCTTGCTGTTTGTTTCACGAAAAAAAAAAACGTTGTTGCGAGTATCATCAATTCGAAATTGATTTTTTATTAATCCCAGCCACAATGTTAAGAAACATGACCTGCTCCGTACTTCCCTTTATACCCGTGAAGCTGTCTGTTAAAATTGTTATTATTCAGCTCGATTGCCATGTGAACTTGCTGTAACCATCGTTTCTTCCTAAAAGTCATAGCAACACCCATGCTTTCCTTCGCCGCCTCATGCATGTCTTGTCCTGTAACTCTGCTGTACATGCGAGTCAACTGCAGGCTCAAATCCTCGCTGGAGTTGGCTCGGCGACGTTGGTTGGCGCTGTGAAGGCGTTTAGGCGTTGAATGAAGGGACAGAGTTCTACGGCGTTGCTTGAGAAGCATGCCGTCAGTTTTAGAACTCTTCACCGATTTTGTTGCCGAGGAGATGTCTATTCTAACATGATTCAAACTTAAATCATCGCTGGGTGGTTTAATGGGCGGTATTCGATCAGCTGATTCGTTTGTTTCTTCTTTTAATGTATTTTTTGCTTCATAAGGCTTTTTTTGCGAGCTCACTGCAACCTCTTGCGTGACAAAAAAGTCGTGGGCACTCTGATTTCCGGATTCATCGATAATTTGAATATCAATATTTTTGTCGCTTTTGTTTACTCCGACCAGGCTTGTGTTTGTTGAAATCAGTGGCATGCTCTCCCGCTGATCAGTTTTTGTTTCACTGTCTGTTTGTTTTTCCTTGTGATGCCTCGACGACTGGCAGAAAAAGACGATTTCGCTGTCTTCTCTCTCTCTCCATCTGTACGCTTTATGTTGATTCGCTGTGCGTCTTTCTTGATTCGCATTCTTAATTTGCAACTTGTGTTTTATGGAAGTTTCCAGTTTCGAAATATCGCCATGGCTACGCAGTTTCGAAACTGACGGTAACAAGCAATCCGCACAAGTCGCTCGGTCGTTGTTCGATTCTTCGCTCGATTCGCTTGAATAGTTTCCCGAATCGGCACTGTCGCCTTTTTCATGAAAACTCATAATTTCGACACTTCCCGAGGAATTACCATATTTGTCACTGTGTATTGATTTCAAACTTGTACCACTTTGTCCACCTGCCGTTGGCTTATTTTTCACACTCTTGAGTTCCAAAGAGAGCTGTATCTTTGAGGTGCCAGTTTGCATATTCTCCCCGAAGCCGTCAACTTGCACTTTTTGTCCCACCACGGCACTTCGGTACGTTCTATTTTCCATTGCCAGCAGAAGGGGGTTAGGTGAATGCTTATGGAAGACAATAGCTCTATCACGGGCGCGTTCGCACCATTTTCGCACGCGCCAGTATATTCCTAGCGTCAAACCGCATGTACTTCGAGAGCGAAACTGCTCGGCAATAAGCAGCTTGAAACACTCGGTTTTCCTGTACCTTCGTGCGATATTACACGGTGTCAGACCGTGTGCGTCCTTGGCAAGGATGCAGGCGTAGTTGTGGTGGATGAATTTCTGTAGACAATTAAGGCTGCCGTGTTGTGCGGCCTCGTGAACTGGCGTCTTTAAATGATCCGGATGCACTTCCTTGTTGCACCACTCTCGCACAGGATGCTCTCCGACCGGCTCGTCGCATCTTGCCCCGCTCTTGATCAGTTGAGTGGCGAGTTGGGTGTAATTGAAATGAGCCGCAATGAACAGCGCTACCCGAAGCTGGTACTTAAAGACTAATGGATCGTCGTGAATACTAACCATGTGTTTTATGGTCGGTGTTAACTGCCCTGAAGTGGCAGATTTAAGAAACGCACCCCAGCCATTCCATATTTCCAAACGAATCGTGTCTCCGTAATCGACGGAATATTTCTTCAATGGGTGACAGTCATACATTTCTTTTCCCTCCAAGGAAACGAGGCGGAAAACGCTGACGTGTAGCCCTGTCTTCTCCGTAATCATCGTTTTAAAATGTCCCACTTTTGTCTCCCATACATCAAACCATTCGGTAAACTTAAGCGTTTCGTTCAAATGTGAACAGGTGACACTAAGATAAGTTTTAACATTTTCTAGCAGTTCGCATCTCAGTGTTGCACCTGGCGGAATACTAATATCCGTGAAAACCCAATCGTCTTCTAAATTCGATCCCGCGTAATTAATCGCCATAAGCATGTCGTTCTCGCCATCTTCGCTTTGCACCGTGTCCAAATCGAGTTTCTTTCGAAGAGTACCTTTTATCTCGCTCACTGTTTGCCCAACTTCTACGTCTAGTAAATGTCTAATCCTGTCGAAAAGCACAAAAATCCTCATCTTGTCAACTTTCGCTTGTGTCCGTGGTTAATCAACAGGAAAACGCAATTCTCAATTTGCCTGTATCTAGGCCCACAAACATCTGTGTACCCAAATAGCGTTTCATCACCAAGAAGCGACGCTTCAAAAATCGCTCTAGGATATTAATATTTCATTGCAGTTCAGCGAAGCTTGCCTTTGTGACGTGAAGAGGTTGATAAGCCGAAGAAAGTGCAATTAGCAGCTTAAATAATTAACACACACTACCAACCAATCGCGCCAGGTATTTAGACAATTTCATGGGTCTTTGTTACTTAAGCGAGAAATGCAAATTCAGTATAGAAAGAAAGGATGTCGAATTATTTTACCATAACAGAAGTTTTACTACTCATTGTTTAAGGTGTTTAGCAGGTTGGCCGAAACCGCTCTTATCACTTTGGGTAAAATGTTTTTCAACGGCTCGTTTAGTTCGTTATGATATCTTCAAACTGTTTGTTTTCCTCCTCAGACTTTAAGCCATAATATAACGGATCTCTATCGTACATTCTCATCGTGTGTAAGCTGGTAGTTTTGCGCACTTTCAAGAATAGCTTGCTTTTGACAGTCATTAAGACAAGATTAGTTTCCGTTCACTTTATTAGCAACAGATCTTTGCGACAAAAGGGAGAGCTTTGCATTATTAAGAACGATTGATCATTGTGTTTGCTCACACAAAAGCCTTTTCTAAAGCGGTGTCATTAAACTCGATCGAAACACTGTCTGTCAATGAACCTATGTTAATTTTATTTGACTGTTAAGTTTGTTAGTTTGTGTAATGCTAAGATAACCTCGAGTTATATCCGTCTCTGCGTCCATAACTGCGAATTTACGGCCAGGGAAATACCTTTTCTTTTTATTACCTCGGGGAAAAATAGATAATGTTGTGTCAGTAAAATTTAAAACATTACGCACCTCACGCAACGATTTACAATGCAAATTTTAAAAATATTTAAGTACCTGCTTACACCATGTATTAAGCGTCAGTGATGTGCGAACGACTCCCGCTGACTTATTAATGATGATCTTTGCACGGTACTCAATCTTTTGAACATGCGTGGTAGTTAGCTAGCACTGCGAGTAAAAAATAACTCGCCCACCTGCTGACTTTGAATTAATTTTCTATTCGCGTTTCATAGCTATAGCATTCTGAAATACGCTTCGAAGCAAATATTTTTCTTTAAAATAAAAGCTTCATTGCTTGTACTCCATTAGTTTGAAGTGTTATGGAAAGGTGGAAATTGTTCAAGAACAAAAAAGAAAAAAAAAAGAAAATAAAAGAAAGGGTAGATGAATGTCTTTACCTGAAGAAACAAATAGTTCAAGTTTCAGAGCCATAATCGCCCAACTGTGTTCGCAATCGGAAACTAAGAAAACTAACGCAGTAATGATTTGTTTTCTCTCAAATGAAAATAAAGTCGTGTTTTTAATTAAATTGGAACCCGAAAACATTCAGGACTCCCGCGAAGCTCCAAAGGAGACTGTTGATAAAATAGGGAGGCCGGTAGCACTGAAGCACTTATTAGGCGCCTTGAAATTGTTACAAACATCTCGCCGAGTATAACCACAAGGAGATCGAGCAATATTGCAACAACAAAAAAATACTTTGGATTATTTCTAAAGTTTAGATATAACAAAATGAAGGAACAGGCTTTTTATGCTGCTACAACTCAGCACAGAAGTTGGGTTTAAACCGCATAAGAAAAGAAACCCGACTGGGGGGCCGCTTGTCGTTCATTCTCAGGAGTAATGTTTTGTGGATTTGTTTCTTGTTGCCAAGTCACTTTTCTTGGCGCCTTTGAGGTTGCCGATCTGAAAAATGATGGGAACCCTAACTGAGATAATCACAGCAAGGAAAACTTTTATTTTGAATTGTTAACTTGGAGACAAACTCATCCAAAAATCTGTTTGGTATATGTCATGAGTGAAATTGACGTAGAACTACGCCCTTAAAACGAGTTTCTGTTACCTAAAAGAGATTTTTGGGACAACTTCTGGTAAGCAACCTCGTGATCATTAGACAGGACTGCTTCCCCTCCCCCCATCGCGGGATAAATATTCTATATTTGGAGATGCCACGCAACTCATTGTACACTATTTCCAAGAAGTAGCTGCCTAGGAGATATAGGTAATCAGTAAAGAAGGACTTTAGACAAGATCTCACTTCCAACCATTTATTTATTTATTTTAGCTGCCCTGCAGTTTTACAACACATTACATTTTAAATTATAATTTATTTATTTATTGAATTATTAATTCTAAATTAATGTTATTCTTAAATAACAAGTTCTTTAAAATAATCTTTAAGCTTGATCCTCGATACTTTCATTTTTTACCAAGTAACGACAGTACTTACGTTTTAAAATTATTATTTGTCTTGACTAAGGTATCAATAACATGAAGCAAAAATAAATGTCTTACAGTAAATAACAGAAAAGTCGAAACGGGATTCGCACTTATTAAAGCATTAATAAATAGCGGCAGTAGATTTTGTTTGTGTTTTACCGTCCTCCATTCTCACCGAGTCTTGTCATTTTCTTCTTTACTACGATGACTTCTTTGATTACTTAATTAAGCCATTTTGTGTCAGGATGTCTTGAAATGGCTTATTTTAAACACTGGATTAAATGAAATTTAGGAAAGTTTGAGGAAAGTTTTTGAAATTTTCGCTGCAATTCGACAGAGAGTAAACGACGAAAGCACACGATTACCATGAAAGGTGCACACGAGAGCCGACCAATGCAAAAAGGTGTGTCGAAAATGCTGCACGAAATTAAGCGAGAGTACACGACAGTCGGCGAGGGTGCACGAGAGTCAACGAGAAGGCGCAAGAGAGTAGACGAAAGTACACACGAGTCGAAAATGATACAGGAGAGCAAACGAAGGTACTAAAGCGTCGAACAAAATGCATGATACTCGATGAGGTTACACTAGAGTAGAGAAAAGTAGACGAGTCGAAATTGTTGCACGGCAGTTAACGACCGCAATGCACACGCGAGTCAAAGTGATGCACGAGCACACGAGAGGTAGCGAGTGCCAACGAAATTGCGTTTGTGAGTCGATGGATACAAATGATCGCGAGATTGCTGGAGCGTAAACTATAGGGGATGAATGTACAATAATTTGGAGATCGACTTGCTGATTATCGTGCCTTAGACAAAGTGCTATGATGATATATAGAAACTGAAGTGAAAAAACAATGACTAAACAAACAGAAAGAAAAACAAATCGTATTTGAAAAATAAAATAAAATGAACAACAAGTTCTTTCTAGAGTCCCGTTTCTGTACATATGTTCTCTGTCGCCGTTAGGCAGCAATCTTTACACAGCGAAGAGCCACAACTTTGAGTGACATGCACTAGTTATACTAGAGCAGATGAACAGGCAACATTTTGGAAAACATCTTGAAATAAAAAAAGGAAAGATAATTATTTATCGCATTCAACTGACTCTATTGAAAGCTCAATTTTCACCATATTTACTCAATGATTATTGAATTGCTCGACCTAAAGTCGTGATCATTTAATACTTACGTTTTACACCATTTCTCCTTCAATGACAAGAGTATCACACTTAGGTGACGAATTCAAAAGCATTGTTTCTCACTTATTTAAAGATTTAAAATCACATTTATCTCACACGATAATTTTGGTAATGAAGTTGATTGAAGTTCACTGTGTTTACCAGGGTGTACACCCACTTTAAGGGTGCGACCTACAAGCTTTGTAGAATTTTATTCATTTTGATTTTCGCAAAATTGGAATTTAAATTGCTTTTTGAAATCCTTGGTGATTAAAAAATTGGTGATTAAAAAATTTGCTCATTTTAACTTTAAAAGTTTCTTATACTTTTATTTGACCAAAAAAAAAAATTGTATCCACGGTTAAAAAAACTTTATCGAGAACGCGTAGTTAAGTGCCATTGCCAAATGATTTTAGATTTTAGTTGAATCAATCACTTGACCTTTTACTGAAATATTTTTGAAATGTTCCACTTTTTACGGCTACCAGAACAAAAGCTTAGTCGTTTTAAACTCAGTTGACGTGCAAGTTGCTTTTAGATTGATTTTACTGGTCCTAAGTTAAAGGTGGAGTGGCTAGATTCGTTCTGACTGTGCTGTTGTAATATTCACCTTCACTGCAGGTTGTTTTCAACAAAATTCTTGTTCGATAGTGACGTTCCACATTCTTTATTACGCAGCTTTTAAAAATTGGTCGTTAAGGGACAGCCCTGCTTTGGAAGACCTGTTTTTTTCAAAGTTAATCATTACTTGAATTGAGGGATTTTCTGTGTAGCTTATGAAATCACTGTTGGATCGGAAACCAATAAAAAACATAGACAAACTTACAAAGGCTGTCAAAATTTCCACATGACTGAACTATGATTGGCGGAGATTGGCGGAGCCATGACTTAAAAAGATGTCACTAAAATTATATCTCTAGTCCGGACAAACTGATGTAAAAACAAACGATTAAAAAATGTAAAATATTCCTACATTTTGATAAAGCTTAAACGATTTATATGTAGTAATTAAAGAAATCTGAACATTTTCAGTTAACCACAACCATAACTATTTGGTCGTTTGTAATAAACATTTTAAAGTCGAGCACGCTTCCCGTCCGCGAGTAGACTAGGACTGAATTAAATAAAACATTAACCATTCATCTTAATATATTAATATAACTATAAATTACGAATAATTCTATTAGAAGTACATTTATATAATTTACTTTGCCTAAAATATTGCTGCCATTTTTTCTCTAATAAAATACTCTACTAATAATATCGTGCGTGCATATATATTTTCTTCAAGGCGTTAATTAGAGGTGAATGTTATAAAATAAATCGTATATAATTCAATCATCTCAAACTGGAAAATCGAGAAAACGAATAACTTTGTGATGCAAAATACATATTTTAGGCGTGTGGCCTTCTCTGGAAACCTCCAAAAACAACCTACCATTTGTACAGGTAGCCTTTCGTTACGAAAGAACTTATAAAGCAAAAACTTTGTCAAGTAGTTACACCTCCTTCATTTTGAAGATAAATAAGGCATATTAACAATATCCTATACCTATGCACTGAACAATAAATTTACCCTATCTAGCGAAGATATTTTTCAGGCGATATCAAACCTGTTTCTTTCGTAACTCAATTTTTTCATTATCGCCTGAATCAAAATATACGTCCCCAATTTTCCATTCACTCATTTGATATTCTCCCATTCATACCAGATCAAAATTCCGAATATTCCAACCAAATAAAACTGCTGGTTCCCCACCGTGCTCATCTGAGACAAAGGTAAAGTCACGTAACTCGCTGCGCCCGGTTCCTCAAGTTTCCGCCCAGCGGGCTAAACCCCGGTTTACCAACTCTCTGTTTATCAAGATTGTCTGAAAAGTTAAACAAGATTCACTCAGATAACTTTATCGGTGAATGCATTACTCAAAGTGAAAAATTTAATGATTGATCAGCTTGCCATGAGTCAGTTAGTAGTGAGTGAGTCTGTCAGTCTGTCTGTCTGTCTGTCAGTCTGTCTGTCTGCCAGTCTGTCTGTCTGTCAGTCAGTCTGTCTGTCAGTCTGTCTGTGTGTGTGTCTGTCTGTGTGTCTGTCTGTCGGTGTGTGTGTGTGTGTCTGTCTGTCTGTCTGTCTGTCTGTCTGTGTGTCTGTATTTCTGTCTGTAAATCTGGTTGTGGGTCTGTCTATCAGTTTGTATGTCTGTTTTTATGTCATTCGCTTTTATGTCACTTCGATCTATCATTTATCTGATCAGAAATTGGGTCGTGTTGACTTGAAATTGATATAATAAATAATTTGCTCGCTACAATGGAGAAAGGTGTATTCTGCTTAAAAATTGTACCCATAACCTTTCCTCCATTTTTAAAGTGTCTTGCATTTTGGAAGAGCAATTGACTGAAACATAAGCTATGTTTTGGAGAAACTGAGACGGCAGAAATTGACAAAAAAAACCAGAAAAACAAACAGGCAGTTAAAGAATGAAAACAAAAAACAAAGGGATACGTCAGAGATACAGTATGATACAACGGTTATTTTGGCGCACTCAGGTTCTAGTTTCTAAAGTTATCTTTGGACTCCTGCAAGTAATTGAAATCTTACTTCTCCTCAAATTTCATTTAATTATCTTGTTAAAAATGGTTTTCAGAATAAATCAGGTCGTCAGCTAGAGGAGGTTATCTTGTTTTGACACCAAATTCTCCCAACTAAATTGTAAGGGAATGCGAATTAGCTCTAAGGGAAAGTTAGTCATCAGATCACCCTTAAGTGTGTACCTGCTGTCCTTGCACAAGGTACAGTTCCAAGCATGGCAAACCGCTTCTGTGACCAACAACACGGGCAGTTAACACAGCATTCATTGTTAAATCCTCCAGAACTGCACTGGCCACGCTTGAAAACGTGTCTCCTGAAACAGGTTATAAGTTGGTCAGTACATGATAAACCTGTACAATACGGGCAAAAAAATAGTAAACAAGCAAAAAATAATCCTTTCACTCCCATGACTTAAGTAGCAAATTCTCCCAGCTGCCGGTCAAAGATTTCTATCATTGAAGGTCTGGAATTTAAGCGTTAGATCGATCAATTTTCTCCACTTGATAAATTTCCTTTATCTCATCACCATTCTGCTTGAAATGGTGTTGATATTTTTAGGGATAGTGCTGGAATTATGTTTCATTGACTTCTACCGACAACCCATGAACACCACTAACCTTGAAGAGGGATCACGTTTGCAAGGTAGCATTCGATAGCTTGAAAAGGCAGCGTCAGAAAATCAGCCCTGAAAATTAATCAACAGCATTAACAAGTGGGAAATTTCTCATGTTCACAAATCTGTTCGTAAAGAGTTCACTGACAAAGGACGTGATTTAAAAAAGCAAAATGTTCTCTTTTTTGAAGGGTTAGAGTCGTTAATTAGCAAAATACAAAATAAAGATAATATTAATAACAGTAATAATAGTAATAATAATAATAATAATAATAATAAATAATTATAACATGTGGAGGCAGTGTGGCCGAGTGGTTAGAGTGTCGGACTTGTAATCCGCCGGTCCCGGGTTCGAGTCCCACCCTGACCACTGGATCTGTTTCACGGGAGCCCCGAGTTCAGATCCTTGGCCACGCTTGTAAATAGCCAACTGGTTTGGCTCCGGCCGGTTGGGGTTCTTAATGATGTTCTTATTGATGTTATGTTCAATTTAGACCATTTGTTTCATTTGTTTGCAAGGACCACAATGGAAACTACTGGTTCACCAGTAATTGTGTAATCCTAAAAAAAGACTTTTTTTTTTATTTTTTTATTTATAACATGAAAACCATCCTCTAAGATAGAAGAAAGACAAACACTTCACTAAAACTGATTAATGAATTCTACACATCTACTGAAACAGTTAAATTTTCAAGGGCAGTAATCCATCGACCATTATCCACAAGCTCAAAATCGATGTGCACAGATTTTTACGTGTTAGCAAAATCTTCTAATAAAGTTAAAAAAAAATTAATGAAATGGAATAAAAGCAAAACATTCAAAGAATACTGATCATCAAAATAAAACCTTGGCGTTTTTTAATTCATTTATTTTATTTCAATTTTTCTTTCTTTTTTCGTAATGTAATGTAGTTCGTGTGATATTTTGAAGTGTTGCTATCATGCCACAATAAAAAAAAGTTAAACCTAGGGTAAAGGCTGACCAGACAAACAAGACAATAAATACTAAATAAAAGTTAAAAAAAGCATTACAAAAGGTTTACCACAGCATTGTCTTGAGATCACCCACGAATAGACCGGACTCTAGAAAGGCTGGACTGTCAACAAAACATTCCTACCCCGTCCCTCCCCTCCCCCAGCCCCCTAAGTCAATGGTTTAAAACCTATGACGTCATACATACGTCAGAAAGTGAAGTGTAAATGGTCCTCAACAGAGTACCGTCACGTTATTTTTAGTCTTATAAGAGTGGACAAATATATACATCCTTCTTCAACAAAACATGTTGTATTGGTTGAGATTGAGCTTCTGCTTTCATGCCGGGGCGACAATTCTTCCGCATCAACTACTATCAAATGAGCAATTGACAGTGTTACCTCGCACTGGTCAATTGTCTCTAAGAGTCTAAATTCCGTTGTGAAGCCTTTTTTTAGCCAAAGATGTGTTTTCGCTAATAAACCGGAAGAAAGTCGGCAGTTTGGGGAGCAAAAAGCAAAACTAAAAAAAACCGCCCCCATCGTACCTTCAACTCTCGGATTTCAATAACAAGTACGTGCTTCAGCAAGCCTACGTCAAAATATTGGGCTTTCAAATAAGAAAAGTTTCGTTCTCTCTTTGACTTCCGAGTTGTTCTCTATCCATCACGATATGACACTTCATTTATTTATGTTGCAGCTAAGTGATTTGAAATTCAAAATGCTTCTTGTATTGTCTCTTTACTTTGGTACTGAAAGCATTTTTCTTATCATAAACTTAACATATGTTTACTTTTAGGTATCAAAATATATATATATGTTTCTTCCCGCTCTTTTCGATTTTCACTTTAAATTATTTTGGACTAATTATTCGTTTGACATATACAAATAAAAGTTGAAATAACGTTAAAGCTCTCTTTAATTTCTGCTCTACCATCGATTCTTTATTTTCCTACATTTAAATTGTGACTATAATATTTGGTAGAAGAAGCCATCATGTAAAAGCCCTGTAGTTTCTCATGGGCTTCCTCGCCTTTTTTAGTCTTATTTTTTTACACTAACAATTTGATAATTTAATTTATGGCAAAAGAAACAAAGCATAGAACATTAAATTGTCGGAAAATCTTCACTATTATCCATAAAGTTCTTTTAGGATTAAAAATGAGCTATTTACAAGGCAAAAACAATTTAGAAAGTTAAAACCAAACATTTTCGACACTGGATAAACATCAGGATAAATAAGCACACTCCGAAAAATGGTTAAGAGCTTATGCTATTTTATTTCTTCTCGCTGGTCAACATAGGGTTTGAGAGTGTGAAAAGTATAATATTCCACACTTTACATGAATATATTTGTCTAGTGTTCACTGATTTTGACAACCATTCGAACCCGAACAAACTTCGCAGATTAGTTAAGGAAACATTTCTTTTATACTACCATGCTAGATGTTGCACCAGCTTTTGACGTCCACTATCGGAAAGTCATTCTCCGAATATCATATCATAGGTATCCTAGCAGGCTATTTCTGAGAATTTATGTTACTCAGTTTAACGAAAAATCCCCTAGCTGATAATTATCTTCATTCTCATTAGCAATTTGCTTGACGGCATGTCAACATCCAGAGAAGAATTCACTTGCTGATCATACGTGAACTATCGATTTTATTGATCGTGGAAGAACTGAATCATCTTTCGCAACAATGTTCATGTTTCTGCCTATTTTTTTTAATTAAAAGAAGGCTCTCCGCGCAGTTTACACGTAGGCGATTACATCAAGACGATAGTGCACAGAGCACGAATAGTTAATTCTCAAAAAAAGAAAAAAAATGCGTAATTATCCGCCGGCTTTGCCAAACGATATCATCGAGAAGAACTGGTGTTTTAAAATAGTATGAAGTGGGAGTCATTAACCAGAAGCATCTAAACCACCTGTCATACATAATAAATGGATTCTAGGAAAAAGAAAAACGTCAACGAAACCCATACCAAGGCTATTTTCGCTGTTGAAATGCGTTTCTGTCTAATGACTACGAAGCAACTAACAGCGAAACGATTTGGAAGGAAGCGAATCGTTAGGGAAGAAGTACAACTTCGAGATGTTGTTCCGGCACACGAGGAATTTTTTAAAATAAATCACCATAGATGAAAGCCAGTATATCTCCGATGTAAATAAAAACCCTACCTACTTTAAAACTCGTGACCACAGAGCAAGGGGGTGTGTGTTTTAGCAACGCGCGCACAGGCGAATGACTTATTCAGAACCAAATTGTGGAAGGCGTGGGAAATATCATTATAACTATCTTTCCTTTACGAAACGCCGCAACAAAAACAAAATTCAAACTTTCTATGGACACAGAAGTATTTACAGCTTTCAAGTAAACCAAACGGAGGGAAAAAAGCCTCAGAAACTAGAATCACAAGTCTTCATGAAGTCGAGGGTTGAACAACATGGAAATAGCAAGAGCCGTTTATGTTAAAGTGGAAAAGGAGCCTTATTTACTTTTTCCTTCCAAGCATACAGGTTTCAAATACAGTGCCTAAAAAAGAGTTGGCTAAGTTTTGTAAAGAAAGATACAAATATTGATATCTGAGTTTTATCAAGCCTACTTTAATCGGAATGAAGTGACAAAACATGGGGTGTTAAATTAGCCCTTTACGCACAATACTCATGTTTCAATTATATAAATATTATGTAGAGAGTAGTTTGCTTCGTGTTTTCCGAAGAGAAATGTATAATAAATTTCTTGAAAAGATTAAGGTTTCGGCTTGGCAAAAGTTTGAACCAAAATTAATGACTGACCATTGCCTGGCTGAGATATGCAACTTAGTAAACAGAATCGCTTGCTCACCTCAATTGTCGAAGGCTCGACGCAACAATCCTCCCATATCCTCCATAATCCAAATATTTAACCTCCACTTCGTCTGGATTACCAGTTGGCCCAAGAACCTGCGCCCTGTACCAGCCGTTATAGGTGTATGCTGGCGCTGCACAGCACGAGCCCACCACAATAGGTTGTGGTAGAGGAAGAATCAAAGGTGCTGTTCCCTGCCCGAAGCATTGCAACATGTTCTGGTGAAGGTCTTGAAGCTGTCTTTGCATGAATTCGTCATGTAACTGCACGAAAAAGTGACCGGCATCAGCCACGCTTGTCACCACCACATCGAAGTTAGCAACGCTCGGAAGCATAGCTTGAACGAAAGGTACGGCCTGTACAGGCATGGCAGCGGTCACCATGGGCTGAACGTGTACAGCGTTTGCTGTACCGTTTACAGCTGAGTTGAGCCTCGTCAAGGGTACGCAGGGAAACTTTTCATGAATAGAATCCAGTGCACTTTGAATCTGTGCGGCGTTTCCTGTAACTGAGATGATTCGATGCGTGGAAACTTCGCCTGGCGACTGTGGAATCAGTCGAATTTTCGCTCCGGATTTTTCGGAGATCACTCGTACGTTTTTGCCTTTTCGTCCTATCAGTCTACCGCACAAAATCTGGGGGAATTCTATCTCCCACACGTCTTTGTCGCCGTTGTTTGAGCTTTTTCGCGATCTTGCATTTTCTTCGCCGAGAGGTGGAGTGCCATTGTTGAAACCTTCCGTAAAACTCAAAAGAGTGCTACTGTCGACGCTTCCCTCGCTCGCTGATTCTTCTCCGCCTGACGATTCTTTGAATTCCGAACCCGTCGACGGCTTTGTTTCCACTCCGGAATCTTGTTGTGTACTTTCTGTTGTGCTTGGCTGTTTTTCCAGCCGGTAACGGTGCAATTCTGAGGCTTCCGTATCTACATTAAACTCACTAACTTCGCTGTTCTCGCTCGATGCACCCTTCTGTTTGCCCCGAATTATTTTCCCCTTGTCCTCGCTGTTTACATCTGGTTTTTCTTCAAGCTGCTCGAGTTCTTCTGCCTCCTTGTTCTTCTTTTTTAACCATAGAAAACTTACGATGATAGTGATAGCGGCTGGTAGAACAAGGGATACAAACAGTTTGGTAGAAAACTGCATATCGGCCAACCTAAGGACAAAGTATTGAAATAAACTTAGCAAAAACACAAAATGAAACGAACGGATGGGAACAGTTGACCGCTAAATTTCGTAAGCTGAAACCCCCCTTACGAACACAGAAACCCGCTTTCAGAAACATTACAATCTATTTTGACTTTTTCTCCAAAACTTTAAAACTTAACGACCTTTTGGAAGGCAAAGAAGATGCGTCCTGTTTTAAAGGGACGTGAAAATTTGCATTGGGCGTTCGGTAACTACTAATTATCAACCTAGGCCTTGCAAATATAGTTGTTTTACCAAAAAAGTGTTTCACCAAACACTCGAATCTAAACAAAGAAATGATTCTTTGCGTTTCTAGCCTGGTTTCGGTCAAGATTTCCGCAGTGAGCGTTAATCTCACAGCCCACGAAAAACTACGACACAGCTTATGAAACCCGGGTCTTCCGACAACATGAATGCACGGGCAATGCGTGATATAAAATTACCTTGGTACGTTTTTATCGAGAAGAACTTGTATGAGCGTAGCCACAGGAACTTCTTAGGTCATTCATGTAATGTGTACGCAAATACTTTCTGGAATTATTGTTGCAAAATCGTTTCCGCAACAAGAAAATATCCTCGGTTTCGATGGAAAGTCCGCTTCTGTGACATGCGCACTAAACCTGGGTTAAGCTCTTACCTAGACACTAGTAGATGCCTTAAGATGGGAGTGAAAGAGAGTTGGAGTTGCCTCTAGTTCAATATACACTGCCTGTCCAACGATTAAATCTGGCTGTAACTCTAAAATCTTTCAAGGGCACTGCCTAAGTGCTGGACGACTCGAATTGAGCAAAATGTCTGCACAATTCTATTATAAGAACTGCTGAATGTTCTATGTCGTTTATGGGGCCCACACTTGAAGGTGGAATAAGAGTAATGAGTTCAACAGCGACTGCAAATGTCTAGTACAATAAATCAACTGAACTGTCACCACTTAACCAGGGGATAAGCCGACACTACTGTAGCTCTCTTTCCCACGAGATACTGGAGACATTTTACATTCACGTGCAGGTTTAACTACTGCCTTGAGTTTTAACCTCAAGTTCTGTGAAAAACACCAAAGAAATAATGTGGTACTGGAGCTTTCTTTGTGTGTTTTGGCGACATGGTTCACGGTTTTTTTTTTTTTTTTTTTCCTTTTTTTTTTTTTTTTTGTACCGTAGGTGGTTTAAATCCATCCTGGCGAAAAAAGTATATAATTGCTAGTGTTTGGATTAATTGTTTTAGGTACCACACGTTTCGATCGCTTTATTTTTCCTTTCCTTTTTTCCAAGTGTATCCAAATAAACTGGCACATAAGCCACTCTCTTCAGTTGTTTGTTGTCCACAATCAGCGCTCAAAGCCTGAGGAAATAGCAGCTGCAAAAGCGGTTCGATCCGGAGAGAGCTGCATGAGTGTTGAGTTGTTGTTTGTTTTTTTTTTTTACTTTCAATGCTCAGGCTAGACGAGGACTTAAGTTAACAAGCGTTCGCTTCTTGAAATTAGCGACGTAAATAACAAAGTTTGAGTTAAAGCTGCTCTTATACTTCGCAAGAAGGTTAATTTAAGATAGAGTTCATATACCTAATGGGAAAGAGGACAAGTATATTGCAAAAGTGGTCGAAATAGCACAGCTCAACAAATTGCGTTTACCAGATAAACACAATTCTCAGAAAGTACTTTTCATTCATAACAAGACTGGCGAGGAGACAAGCGCACCATTAAAACAAATTATTCTAAAAAATATTTTTTGACGAGACTTTGGCCATTACTGTGTAGTGTTGTTACGCACTTTCCTATTCCCAACTGTTTACCTTTACTGCAATGTAATTTGACTTTCAAATGATAAATATGTGTCTTGTGCATTTTAACTGTACCTCGAATGCATCGTATTTCGTTCTAGCCCAGCGGGCACTTCACGTAGAGGAGCCATTTTCTGCGCGCGTTTATTCCGGTTCCGTGGCCACGATGCACGCTTACCCATTATCAGTTAAGACCCGTCCTTGACAAAACGTTGAAGGTCAAAAAAAATGCTCTCTGAAAGACGGACTTGTTTCTTTAACTTCAGATGTGCAACTGTTCCGTCGATAGAATGATTGGGAGAATAACAACTTTGTATGCGCAAAGCTAAAACCGGGCATGCTATTTTGATCTGAGCAGGTGGATTTATGTGACGAGCTTAAGGGCTGGACAACAAGGCTGCAATTAGGCTTTCAAGAAATGCGTGAGCACGGCAAGTTTCAAATCAGTTCCACGTCCTAAAACTTGTGTGTGGGAATTAATTTGGCTGATTTTACCTCTATAGAAACCCATTTGGCCATCTCAATTTCGCAACGTCTTTTTAAGAAAATTATGTTGACAAAATTTCAAAGCCGCTTCCCATGCACCGTTGCACTATCATGTAACGTCGAGTCGCAGTCTCCTTACAAATGGAATCTACGGTACACTTGTTCAGCACGAATCTACCTAAAAACCAACATATGTCAACTACATATGAACACCAGCGCATCGTAAGTAACGTTTCTCAAGCTACAAATCCTAACTTGATTGTTACCGAGGGTGGATTAATTAAGACGGGGGAGACACTCACGCACACCTACAAGAAATGTAGGAGTAGCAAATGCAAAGTATCAAAATCAAAAGACCACAGCATTGATTTCATTGTGAACACGAATTTCTCGGACATTTTTACTTTTGAACTTAACATCATGAAGACTCCTTTCCTTTGCTCAAAGTATAAAATCCGACAATCTTAGCGTGAAACAAAGTAGGAGTAACTTTACCTCCAGGGAAAGAGGTTACACTTTGTTGTTGACCGGTTAGATATTGCTGTCTCGAAGGATATAGTTTTTTATCCTGTTGGTCTAGACTTGAAGATCATTTTTCACCGTGGGTCTTACATTGGGTGACGTTTGTTCACATTTTAGAAATGAGGTGTGGAAATGGGTAAGTTCTTTAGCAGAAAGAAATGCTTTTGCTATCATTCCTCTCTAAGAAATTTGGTTCCTAAATTGAAGGCATTGGCAAAACGTTCCTCCAAAAAAATTGCTAAGTGCTTAAGGCAGTCTTGCCAAAGTCCCCCGAAAAGTTGTAAATTAAACTCTAAATACCCTCCTAGGAGAGTTAATAAAAACACCTGTACTTTACTACTGCACTGGTTCAGTTTTAGAAGGACCTAGAATGGGGTTAATGTTCTAAGAGACATACCCCACACTCTCACTCTATGTTGTTCCACCTTGATGGAGTTAGTCCATCCCCGGTTTTTCCCCTTGACAGGTTGCCATGACACACAATTTACATATGTCAAATAAGACCCCCTTGATCAAAGGAGTTATTGATATACTACTAACGTATCATGCCCAGATGACACATCACTATGAGTAATTTTCTTAGGCTTTGAAATATGTCAACCTATATGCACCCAATTAAACGGCGCTTTTACAACAAGTAATAAACGCCACTTTCAAAAGCCTGTCCACCTATACAATGCCGACTGTAAAGAGGTTTTACGAAACTAGAACGGTGCTCTAAAGAATCTTGCTATGGCAAAAATTAGGGCCAACTTCAACTACCGGCTCACGATTGGAAGGTCGACAAAAACCGTTATGTAAGCACAGTTACTTGTGGCAGAGATTACTGTAATCAATTTTGTGAAATAAAACATGAATTTCGTGAATCGCCCTTGCACTTTCTTCCTCGCTGTTACTTGTTCGATGATTCTCACAGTATCGCATGTGGGTTTAAAAGCTACATTTTCTATTTACCTGGATTTGCGGAGATGAGTCTTTGACAAAACTTCTTCCTCGACATCCATCGAAACGGCGCTCGCATTCCGGTAAATTCACTCAAAAACATTACCCGCTAGCGATATTACACTGGAACAAAACCGTCACAAAATAACATCCCGTTATTGTTCCTCTTTTGTATTGAGGGTAATTGAAACGGGAAGAAAGGAAAGACAGGAAGTTTTTAAAAGGGAAGGGAGGGAGTTTGTCGGCATAAAGAGCAGAAACTTTCCCTTTAAGATACTGACCTTATAAAAGTCCTCAAGGAATAGACAATTGGCTATGAGATACGTGTTCTGTTTGGTGAATTACGCGGAACAGTCATATACTGTTTTTGACATTCACCTACACCATCCATCACTCGATGTACCTTGACGGCTCCAGTGAGTGGAACTCCAACTTCCTTAGCTATCACTAAGACATCCCGTTTATTTAGTCTACTTCCCACAGCAAATTAACTCATCAAAAAAATCGCGTTCACTTTTAAGCTGAATTCTTACGTTGGGAAAGTACGCTCTTTTGGGTAAAGTTTCGTTGACATTTTTTCCTGTTTTAGCGATTTTATTACAGTAACTTTCAGTTATCGAACGTAGAAAGATATTGCGGAGAAGGGAAAATACTCATAGTTAGAGGTTGCATAAAACTTCCTTCTCAGTGATGGTTTCGATGAATTTTTATTTCAACGAAATGCGACATCTTAACATCTCAAAATGAAAGAACTAAAATTAGGCAGGGTTGAAATATTAGATTTTTTTAAAACAACAGTTCCAATTTCCTCAGTCGTTACCACGGGAAAACCACGGCTAATATCTTGGTTTCAACCTCAGGAAACCAATCTCTCGGATTTAATTTGATCAAGTCGGTTTTAAGGCCGTAATGATGTAACGTAGCAGACTAAAAACATTTTCCATCTTAATTTCCACGTGACAGACAGAAACTCTAGTACCCACGCCTTTCATAACACGACACAATGGTTTCATGCTCCTTTGTTAGCAACGCTTTAAGCCGTGATAACATGAGTGCAGCACGAAAAGATCTGGCGTACGTGAGGATCAGAAAAAGAAACTTATGCCCACGCTTCAAATAACTTGACACTGTTGAGTCATACTCTGTTGATAGAAACACTTCTTGTCGTCTTTACAGCTAGTTTCCATACGAACTACATTTTTACCAAACAAGGAAAAAAATTCTGTAGAAAAACGTTACTAGAAAATGCAGAAAGGGGTAAAAAAGAGAATTCTGGGTCGACCTTTCACTTTCAGGAATAAGTAACAGAATGGGACGCATGAGAAACACGGAAGAAGAAATTACTGTACAACGAGAAATTGTATCATGTTGCTGACACTGTTTTAATAGGGAAGTTACTGAAAGTAACGAAAAACGTTGAAAAACACGAGAGAACAAAAACAAAACCTCTATAACAACAATGGGAGAATGAAAAGAAATTTCGACAAGGTTTATCCGTCGGAAATCTGTTCGTGAAAACAACTTGGCATATTTCAAGAAGTGGTACGGAAAACATGCGAGAAAAAACTTTCGTAAAAAGCTTGCGAGTTTTGACAGGCCGAAACGGTGTAACTGAAAACACAGCCGTTCGCACGGAGAAAAAACCTTTTTTGGTACGTGTTGTTCCGTCTTTATCATTTGCGGGGTAAAGTAGCCTCGCTCCCTACATGTGCTTTCAGTTGTGGTTCAATTGGTATTGACGTCTAACCTACATCTGAGAAACCCGAGTCACAGTGTGATCCACTGATGTCTTTTACTAAATTCTTTAAAGCTTCACTTCATGCATTTTACTTTCAGAACAGTTTCCTCAGTTGTAACTTATTATCCACAGGACAAATGTGATATATTTTCATAAATTACTTGCGAGAACATTTCGATCTATGCAGTTTTCTTTGTCATTGTTTGCATTGTTTGCATTGTTTTCTTTGTCATTTCCTCCTACGTCAGTTTTCTGTTTTTTTTTTTTGTTTTTTTTTTTAGGACTATCGGGTGTGTAGTCTGCTCTCTAACTTTTTCAGACCACATTAACGTCACCTTTTCAACACAAGCCAAAAGACTTTTAAAAATAGTGCTTGTCTGCGGGCCTCTTAAATCTTCTCCGTACTTTATCGCCCTTTTCCGGTTTGATTTTGTGTTCTGTTCCACTTTGGCTTATTTGTACTCGGCTCTTTCAAGCGTTTACTGTACGAGACTTTTTACTGTACAAAAAACAACGTTACGTGTCCGGAAGAATTCCACTCAAACTACTGCGGTTGGTTTCACCAGGTGAATACCCTCTCAATCTTTGACCGCAGCGAGGACGCGTTTCGTTGGTTCTTGCGTTTAGTGCCTTAACTAACGCCACTTATGTTCCTTCAATAACCCTGTAAGCCCCTGAAGGTTCTGGTCGACACACTTCTCAAACGCGAAAACTACAGGGACACATTGCGTTGATTCATTCCTGCGATTAGCACCGTTATTACTGCCACTTAAATGTTCTTTAGATAACCATGTAAGATGTTGTGGGTTCTGGTAGGCACGCGTCTGAAACGCGATAACCAACAAATATTTGAAGACGTATTGCGTTCAACATTAGTTCATTCCTACGATTAACGCCGCAACTACTGCCGCTTAAATGTTACTGAAATAAACCTGTAAAAACCTTGTGGGCTCTGAAACGCTACCGCTAACAAATTTACGACCGAGAAATGACAGTTACAACGATTAATCCTAGAAAAATTGTTTGAACGCAGAGTAATCGCACACTGACGACCACCTTCCTCTGCCTACGAAGATGAAGCGAACCCGCAATAAGTTAATAAACACAAGTAAAGCGACCCAAGCTATCTCCCAAGCGCTTTTAAATACGCGAGGTCTAGTGGCTGCCTTCTCCCTCCCTACCTAGAAAATCTCGTTTCCTCTTCGCACTCAGAGGGTCATCATTTAAAAAAAAAAAATAATAATAATAATAATAATAAACAATACTTTTTTTCTCTCTCTCTCTCTCTCTCTGTTGCCTTTCCCAGGCGTGAAAGCATAAGCATGGAAGAAAAAAGGACGTAAAACGACCATTACGGTACTTATGTTTATCTGAGAACTGCCACAGTAAAATTTGTAGCTTACTTTACAGTCCGCTGGTGCTTATATCATTTGTATAATTACAATGTGTAACCGTTTCTTTGAATATATTCTCAACTGAAAATACTATTCTGAGAGTTGTCTTCATCGACATCACTATCATCACTTTAACTTATTTAATTTGCTTCATTACTTGGTGTCAGACGTTCTGAATGACTAATCATATTGTTATCATGCAACATTGTTGTTGTATTCATCTTACAAGATTCAAGCGGAAATATTTATGAGCATCATTCCTTTGAATGGTCGCAGAAACGTGAAATTTCTTTCTCCGCTTTGTGCAAAGTGTTTTATTAGAAAACGACCGATACTCCATGAAACTTATTCTTAAGAAAGGACGGAGAAATTAAACAGGAGGTCGAAATCCGCTAGCCATCTTTATTTGAAGAGTTCATTTGCATCATAACTGACACGAGCCAATACATGTGCCAATAAAGAAAAGCTTAACAAAATTGCCACGCCGTCGGATTGTCAAGTACACCGTCCACTTTCGCAGCTGGAGTTTATAAGGAAAGACATATCTTCGTCCTCCCAACTAACGCCTTCGATTGGTGACAGATATAAAGATTCTTGTTTAGCATCTGTGTTACGATGTGTCCATGTTTTAATAACCGAGTTTTCGTGCCGGAAGTTAATGTCCATTAGACTATCCCAATACATGCAGCAACTACTGCAAAATTACTTTAGAACTTGAGATTGCTCGCAAACTGGGCGAACGCTAGGTTAGTTCTACAGTTACAAGTAAGCGGACGTGTGTAAATTTACGGATATAACGAGTAGTAGAGATAAAACCGTATAGCCGCGAGTATTGGAACTGTCATAAACAACATTATTTGCTTCCGCTACTTCGTTCGTTAGACGGAAAGTAAAACTGTCGTTCAATTCTCTCTAAATTTCTCTCACTTAACTTAACTTTACCTTAAGAACGTGTACAGAAAGTCCTCCTCTAAACAATACCACTGCAGTTGCCATTTAACAGTCGGATAATGCCCCGACTTCTATAGACGATTTAAGAATTCTCTAGATTTTAAAAAGGCTTTGACGGGTGCCATTGTTTGCAGCTGGAATGATTCGAAACAAGGAAGTTGAGTCATCTTAGTGACAGAAACCTCTGATAAGTTCCTCGATATGATGTCTTGTTCTAGATTTTCCTGCTACGCGAGGTCAGTTTACAAAGTGTATTATAAACGCATTAGATAAACATTTAAACTATTCCTAGAGGGGAAGTTCTACCTGCATCTTAACAGTATCAAGCTGTTTTTTCAGTTTTTAATATCGTGACAATTAAAAGGAAGATCTCTAAAAATAACTTACAAACAAAAAATCTTCTAAGACAAAGAAACACCGCTGAAAAAGTCGATTTGCGAAATTTTAGCGATAAGCTAAAAATTCCTAAGTGTCAAAAAAACTCTTAATCAATTTTAACCCGGACTTCACCCACCGACCTATTATTGTTTTCCCAAGCTGTTTAAGGCCAATTTAATTCGTCTCAAACGCCATGCTACAACGATTTTATTCCTTATATAGTTGTTAAGGCATCACAAGACATGTTGTATAAGATTTACTGAAACCTACCTCACACTTCGGCTTATTCCGGCTTCAAAGTCCCTAAACGCAGTGCTGTAACACGCGTTGTGTAATCACTCGTAACAGTAGCGGAACTGAAGCATCTTTTGTCCGTAAATAATCTAAAAATAGATTACATTTCCGTCAGTACCACACAACATGCATGTTTAGCGTGAATAACTATACATTCTAACCACCAAATAAATGAGGCGTATCATTTTATTATTTTCAGTAAGAACGTATAGGGTGAGTGTACTCGCGCGGAACACTCGAGTTATTTTCTCGGCTTCTTAACGTTCCGCGCGCGTACGCAAGGTTTTGCCACAGTTTCAAGTACTTCTACCATAGACGATTTCGCCGCACTTTGTATAAGTTGAACATAAGCAAGTTTATATGGTCTGTGAACAATGAAACTCTTTACGCTGAATTGATAGCTTCCGGAAAGGTATCCGATAGCAAAGTGCTTTTGTTTTAATATACTCTTTTGGAATACTACGTGCGCAACCTAAAATGTTGGCTGTGTAGACAACTTGTCAAAACGTAGTAAAAAAAAAAAAAATTTACCGGGCGTTAACTCAAGCCAAAAGCAGGATGCTTGCATGTTAATACTAGATTTAAATTGTGACACTGCATAATAGTTATAACTAAAAATAATGATTTGAAGAAAATTCTTCAACAGAGACGTGAAATTGGCTGATTCAAAGAAAACCACCAATGGCATACTAAATAGGCAGTTTGACGCATTTTCGTATTTGTTTTACGCACGATGTTGGGGTAAAACCATTTTCTCGGAAATTGTTTAAGGAAGTCCTTGAGAAAGCATAAATCGTATGAATGACTGAAATAAGAAAGTCTATTTAAGTCAATTGACACTAGTAAAAAAACTTAAACTGTGATTCTAGACCTGCATTTTAAAATGTTTCTTGCTTGGTGGGCTGTTCGTAAACCAATAGAAACTCGTATCAGCCAATTACTGCCTCAAAATAGAAGTGTAGACCAATTCCACTTTTTCTTTCTCAATTTGACATTCAAGTTTCTCTTCTTTTAGAAATTAACAGTTTTAAATCAAAGTTTGGGTCAGCAAATGGAATGTTTAAGAAAAGAGCTTTTACAGATCTTTGCGGTGGAAAGTGAAGTGCAGGAAAAATCCAAAAACGTTTTCAATCCATTAAATAGAAGACAGGTTGGAGCAGAACAGAGGGTTCAAGCTGAAAGTAAACCCCAGAAAAGGTCATGTGTTCCTGTGCTAGCTACTGTGATCAAAATGTCACTTAGCTCTGAAAATTTTGTGTTTAATCTCGCAATGTCTTCTGAATTAATGATTTCCTTTTTTCCTCCTCAATTTTATCCTTGATGTTGCAAGGAAGAATTCCATTTTGTTTGCTTGTGAGACTACCTCTCTCCACCCCAGGAGTCTAAGCTAGATGGCTGTTGTTTCAGTGTTGAGTAC